ACTAACTACTTTTCGTTTTAGTTTGTATTTCCTAACTTACTACGGTGGGTGGTAACTAGTGATAGTACACACCTACTACAGTGTGTGTGTGTGTGTGTGTGTGTGTGTGTGTGTGTGCAAGAGAGAGAGAGAGAGAGGAATGAAGATAGCATTATTTTATCTTTCAGATGCAGCTACCTGTTGACACAATCATCACAACCATGGCAAGTATTATCATATCACGGCTTATTACATTACACACAAATAACATTTGTTAATGATAACTTACAAATTTACTGCTTACATTTTGTACAATCATCTTGTCTCAGCTAAAACTGCACTATATGATGTAACTCAGTCACGTGATACTTCATGTACAAAATTTTTATTGTTGATTGGTTTGTGACATACAGTTACAATAAGTATTGAAAACATAGGACAACAACATAGGCTGAATTGTAGTATTTAAATAAGGTTTTATTTGTTTTGTTTTATTACTATTAATACAGATAAAACTATGGAGGTAGCAATCTATTGGTGCCAGATTAGATTTGCTGCTCACCATGTCAGTGTCACTTGTACAGTATTCATGAATTGTCATGTGTAACTTATCTTTGTGTGTTAGTAAACGGTTCCTGAGATTGCTCAATGTGTCTTTACAGAGCTAGTTGAGACTATGTAGATGACTTAGACAGCATTTTACAGTACAAGACTGTCACAAATGTTACATTCAAAACTTAATTAAACAGCTTTATTATCAAGGTATGTAATTTAACTTGGCATGAAATTGTAGCTTTGCTTTAATTGTATATATTTAAAATATTAACTTCTTAATTTAAAAAAGAAACATTTTTTCTATGTCACATAATTGGTCGGCACTTCAATCTGTCCACTATTTCGACACCCAAAGTTAATAGGATCAACAAGGCTTAGGAAAGAACAGCTGCAAATATTATTGAGTACAAACAAGGTCAAGTACACAGTAAATACTGCAAATCCTTGATTTTTATGTATATTCATTATTGCTATGTATATTTAATCAAGGTAACTAAAATGTAAAAAACTAGAAATTTCTCATTTCAGGTTAACAAAACTTAAGTAAAATAAGACTTAAAATTTCGTAAGCTTGAGTCTAAGCACAGTTACGTGCTGCTTATGGTAGGTCTACTGTAAACAACTCATGGTGCAACTTATTCTTTTTGACAAGAGTATTTCTGTTCCACTAGACCCAAAGTATAGCAATAAAACCACAATATTAAAAGAAAACAGATAAGAAAAGGATAACAGTTGAAAATGAAACTGTTAAGGTATGTAATCTATGACTTTCTGATCAATACTACAGTGAATGCAGAGGGAAAAAATGGAATTACTCATTTGATTTCACATTTATAAAATATTCATTTCACTGTACATTGATGATTACTTTATAGTTAGTGTTAGGGTACTATTAATTTAGAAAGTTCTACAGGTTATGCACATAAAATAAAGAAATTGTATGATAAGAAGTACTTTTCCTTCGTGGCATGAAAATCCCCTTTCACTCAGACTGATTCAGTAGAGACTTTAGAAATTCACATACAAATCTTTAATGCAAGTACTTTATTAAAAATATTTTGTGTGTGTGTGTGTATATGATTTTAATGTTTATTAAAAGCTTCCCAAATTTTATAAAGATACACATAGTAAATTCAGAGTTATAATCAGAGCTGGGCATTTAGTGGTACTTGATAATGGATTAATTTTTGATCTCATTAATCTATTACATTCAGTTAATTGATTATTCTCATATGAGACTTGTATAATTAGAATAACTAGAAATAATAATCTGAAACACTAATTCCAATGCTCATGTTCATGAGTTGTGGATTATCAATTAAGCTGAAAAACGTGAACCAAAAATTATAATGAAAAGATAAAATGGCAATATTTTGATTACTCTGATTGTTGAAACAATCAAAATCAATAATAATTAGAAACACTGGTTTTGTTTAGTTGATTATTTTCATGACATCAATCAATTTAATTGTAAATTTGATTAATTTATTATTTTACACAACACTAATCAGTGTAATAGATTATACTGTTTAATTGAGTCAACTGCCCATTCTAGACGTAGTATGCATATATTTCCATGTACAGGCTTGGTCAAACTGATCCACTTTTCATGCTTAAATGATTAAACTTCAATAACTAGAAATAAAGTAACTCTTGACAGTTACAATCATTAACTCATTACTAAAACATATAAACTTAAAGTATAATCAAAATTGTGGTTAGCAAAAGAAAATACTCTCACACAAATCATTGTCTTTCAGTCACCAAATTTTTTTTTTTGGTGGTTTTCTTTTCCACGTCTTACAATATGAAGAGATGCACTCCCTCTGCACTGTTGTTGAAATAATTCACACTTCTTTAAGATTTAGCTTAAAGTTCTCTTTCCTCAAATGATCAAGTACTTTTCTTAGCCATCATAAGCAACACTAAAGGTCTTCCCACATGTGATTATAATCCAAGTTGATAAGTAAGTCATTCTGGTATAGTTACCAGAGAATACATTCCATTAGTCATTCAAACGTTGCAGGTGCATTATATAAACCAAATGATAGCACAACACACTGGCACAACCCATTTCTCGGTAAAGGCTGTCTTTACTTGACTTGCTTTGTCAACTTACGCTTCCCAGTGTCCACTCTTCATATCCAATTTGAAAAATCAGCTTGACTCAGAAAAAGCATCCAAAACAAAATCAATCCTTGAAGAGGGAAGGCTTCCTCCTTGTAACATCAACATCTTTAATCTTTTGATTATCCACACAAATACAATAGGTGGTACCAAAGGTCTAGTATTCAGTTCTATTACTCCTTACTCTCTCATGGCTTTATTTATTTGAAAGCCTCAGCCTATTTTGCAACTGGAAGTCATCTGGCTAAGTGATATGTTAGTGCTACATCTCCACTATCAATTTGAGATATTTCATTTGTCTAGTCTAAGTCACAAGATCCACTGGATAAAGTATATTGACATTGTATGAATAAATCATGTGATATTTGGCACTAATCAGTTGTAAGGCATTCAAAGATCTTGAGATACAGCTACTGTAAATAAAGTGGTGAACTCTCCTTAAGTGAAGATTTAACATCTCCCTCGATACAAATTGTTTCTAGGGTGACTACTTCTGATATTTGGTGAGCAAATATTATGTGCACAACCTCACATTTTGCATTGTTCCATCCATAACTAACTCAAATCTCATGGTTTGTTTTGTTTATGGCCTTAATGATGACATCCTTATCCTTCAAATCCATGAGAGTTCTTCTGACCAATAATCTCTCAGGACAAGCTGGAGTATTTTGGTTCTAAGATCCCCAGGTACTAGACCTAAAATTGTTTCCAACAAATCCATGTATATGTATCTCACTGCTTTATGGTAAAATAACTGTCCTCAATATTATCACTGGTAGTTCAACCATAATTGGATTTATACAGAATTTCATGATCAAAGACTGTGAATTTGTTTGAAGCTAGTCTAATCTCATCTGTACATTTCCATATGAAATCTATTCCCAACATGCAGTCTTTCTCAACGTCAAATAAACACACATTACTGATCATGTTGTATATAGAAGCCTCCCAGAGTAATGGTGTCTTTCAACTCTCCAATTGCTGGAACTTTAAGGACCCTCACTCTTTACATTAACTCATCCTCTGATTTCTTCTCTGAAGACAATTCTTGATCTAAAATTACCAGATCAGGTCACACAATGGTACCTGTAGAACTCAGGAACGTCGAGAGCCAGCACAGGCTCTGGGGAAAACATCCTCACCAGGCCCCCCCCCCCATTTCTCTCTCTCTTTTTTTTAACATTTTCAAGAATTTATTAAAAAGAAGATCCTATATTAGGACAGCAAGGAGCTCATAAATCAGACAAAATCATAGCAGCAGCCATTTTTACCTCATAGTATAAGTGTAAAAATGTTAATAAAGTAACAACAAATATCTATTAAATATATAAAGTAACAAATACATATTAATTATTACTCAAATTATTAGTTCAGTCGTTCTTAATGTATCAAGCTATATGCAAAGAAAAGCCCAAACTGTTTTTTATCAGTAAATGAAGATATAACCTGAAGATGCTTTGCGGGCTTTATGGCATAACTAGGTTTCTTTCGCCTGGGCCCCTGGGCAGTTGCCCCTTTGCAAGAAAGTAGATGTTAACAATAAATAATTGAATATACCTGCTCTACGAGCTGAATGACCTGTTATCTTAATTTCTAAAGGCAAGCAAAAGTAAATTTATTAAATTTATACAGGTTCATGTTTAGTACTTGTTGCTTTGACAGTAAAACAGTATCTGGTGGTAGAACAGAATGAAATTAGACTGATTAAGCCATGAAAACATAGCACTGCATTAGCATATCTAAGCTAAGCAATGGCTAATGTCAAGCAAGCCTACTTATAGTCTTCTCATTTCTTATGAAAAACCCTACAATCATCAAAATCTTCATTTAATAAGTTAGCTGTAAAACAACAAAAAATAAAAACAAATGGGTTAAATATTCCAGAGCCTTTAATTACTAAATCTAAATTTATCATTAATACATTTCTTAATTACATTAGGATCATAGTTTACTGACCTAACATAGCTTGAAATGACTCTCAAAGCATCATTTCTTTTAAAAGCTTTAATGTTTTCCCATACTTTTCCCATGCAAGTCTTCTAGCATCTCTTAAGTACACCTAATCAGTTCTTGATGTACTTCTAGTATAAATGTTAAACATTCAAATATGAAATGAACATTGATTTACCAACAGAAAGAAGGTCATAATTGGCCAGTTGATGAAAGTTGTTTCAACTAGTATGTCTTAATATGTATGTTGTTTACTACAGATATCAAATATACTCAGAGAATTATATTTTGTAAGATTATGGCTGATATTAAGATCGTGGAAAAGGTAACTATAAGAAGTATAGATGAAAAATATTTAGAAGTACCAGACCAGTTTAAATAAAGGCTTTGAAGCAACACAAGTATTTTCAAAATTAACAAATGCTTACTTACTACGTATGAAAAGAAATGAAAATAAGTTACAGTTTGATGTTTTACGAAAAAACAAAATTATTTTTTGTAGTCAGTAAAATTTGATATTTCCACTAAATATACGAGTATGGTGAAAAGAGTAAATTAGTAAACAGGATGTTGAAGTTGTATTTATAGAAAGCTTAGGTTCTAAAATAGAGAAACCACTGCAGTTTGTCTTCAATCTTTAGTTATAAGCTTCTTAGTTTAGTATGTTCAGTCCAGATTTACTAACATAGTAAGGATAACAATATTTTGAAAATATAGTGAATAAGAACATAACCTTGTGCAAAGTGGCAGAAGTCCATTCAAAAAAATTTTATGCTTAAATAATGTAATAAAGTACATGCACACTAAAAAAAATCTTTAGATTAAATGTTAGGAGTGATATGACTGAGGATTCTAATATTGTTTGGGTATAAGTACTGTTAGTCAGAACTGAACTTTACAATGATACTCAGTAATAGATTTAACATGGTCTAAACTAGTCGTTTAAATAACAGCAAGATGATTATTTTCTATATGTCTGAATTGAATAAGATTTTTTCTAGGTGTTATATTAAATTTGTATTAGTTACACAGTAATTACCACAGTCTTATTTGCATTTATTGTTATGCATATCCAGTAGCATAACTTCAAAAGATTCCCCCACATAAGAAGCAATTGGACCCCCTGCATTTTTGTTGGCAATTCTTAAGTTTGTCAGGACCTCCCCCCCCCCCACATACACACACACACAATTGTGGGGGCATACTTATGCCACTGTGCATATCACAAAATTTAGTTTGATAACTATAAAATGTACAGGGTATATTTCTGGGGCAAACATATAATCAGTTATAAATTTAAAAAATAACAATTAACTTCACAAATCCTACATTATTATTACACCTCACCTAATTTGCGAGACTATTGAGAATTATATAGTCTTGGTCATTTAATTTTTTCTAAATGAAATCCAAGTGCATCCATGTAACTGCATGGAACTGTTGAAGTATAACAGCATAAGTATAACTTGAGTAACACTAGCTTAATAATGATCCCACTTAATAAAGTTAATTAAGAACATCAATCCTCGAGTTTTGAATATCTTGTTGAGCTCGGACTTGATATTCTCAAAATACTAATAGTAATAATAATATTTCTTCTTATGTGTATTAAATTTCAATTTAGCAGTCATTATTTACAAAAAAAATGTCTGTCCAAGAACTTACAGGATGCCAACATATTAAGTCATCATATTTCTTATCTTCCACGAGTTTCCAAAGTTTGGTCAAAAACGCAGGAACACTGTTGTTAGCAGAAATATCCGACGTGTGCATTTTCTCGATTTCCTTTACTAGCTTTTAATAATTGAAGTTTATTTCTTTTTCTATTTTAAAGTGTCCCCTTATTTGTTATATGTGTGTACTATTAGTAATAGTAATACTACAGTTTTAACAGTAATAGAGTAAACGTGTTATTTACTCAGAAACAAATTAAATAAACATTTGTTCCCACCTGTCACTGTCAGTCAAACACAAAACAAATCATAATATTAGACAACACCATTTTACTTTAGATATGCCGAGTGTCATGCTACACGTACTACTCATCATAACTTCAACAGTTTTTAAAACACACAAAATCAAATTGTACGATTCATTCGTAAATGCATTTTATAACTAAGCTCGCTGTCTTAACCATATACGGAGGTTATAATACCTTAACGCCCTCTTTTAGTGTATGTATGCTTTTCACTTATTTACTGCAACCATATTCAGGCTACAGAACACATAAAAATCAGACGTTCCACTTAAAATGAAATTAAAGAAAAAAAAGTTATAGATTTAAATTTCAGTAGAATACCTACATCTATTCAACAGAAGCGAAATTAGATTAATTGTGAATATAATATGATTTACAATAGTAGAAAATATATCACATGTAGTAATTTGTTTGTTTGTTGTTAAGGGTAAAGCTACACAATGAGCTATATGTGCCATGTCCACCACGGGTTCTCAAAATTCGGTTTGCCTTCAAACATACTGCTGGGCTACATGTGGCGAGAAAAACGTAATAATTAGTTGCTGGGTGCACATTACGAAACAATTTCTTAGGTTCGATTCTAATATCATACACATATGTTAAACATTTGATAATTTTTATAGTGTTGTGGCTGGGCCTGGCATAGCTAAGTGGTTAGGGCGCTCGACTCGCAATCTGCGGGTCGCTGGTTCGAATCCACGTCACAACAAACATGCTCACCATTTCAGTCGTGGGGGTGTTATAATGTAAGGGTCAATCCCACTATTCGTTGGTAAAGGAGTAACCCAAGAGTTGGCAGTGGGTGGTGATAAGTAACATTCCCTCTGCTAAATTAGGGACGGCTAGCGCAGATAGCCCTCGTGTAGCTTTTCGCGAAATTCAAAGCAAGCAAGCAAGCTAATGAAATGTTACCTGTGAGTAACCAAAAAACTATAAATGTTCAGTTTACTATCATAAAGCTTAAAACATATAAAAATAGATAGATAAAGTTCTTCGCAAAGCACTTCATGGAGAAACTACCGAGTTTCTGTCACCATTAGTTTTGACACAGGGCCGACACATAGTGATATCAAATTATAAGTTAATTGCGACTTGAAATAAAAGATCTATACCTGAATGTAAAATGCAACTAAAAATAAGACTAAGATAATAGGTTTATTGAAATAAAATTCAGAACTAGAAATCAAAGAAAAAACGATACTTCAAAAAACTTAAAAGTTAACCGTGTTTAGAATGGAATCAAGCAATATTTATCACAAACAGTTGGTAGTAGCTTGTTTGTTTGTTTTGAATTTCGCGCAAAGCTACACAAGGCTATCTGCGCTAGCCGTCCCTAATTTAGCAGTGTAAGGCTAGAGGGAAAGCAGCTAGTCATCACCACCCACCGCCAACTCTTGGGCTACTCTTTTACCAACGAATAATGGGATTGACCGTCACATTATGACGCCCCCACAGCTGAAAGGGCGAGCATGTCTGGTGGGATGGGGATTCGAACCAGCGACCCTCAGATTGTGAGTCGAGCGCCCTAATCACCTGGCCATGCCGGGCCTGGTAATAAGCAAAAACAATAAGAAAGCGCCAAAACTTTTTTTTCGCTGTTTCCTTTTCCTCTGTAACCAAACAATTACACATTACAGTCATAAAGTAGCTCAAATTAAAAGTTATTCCAGCAATTCTCATCGTAGTCCTGTCCCCGTTATAGAAAACCGTAGAAAAGTTGTAATCCTACGTTAAGTTCAGCACAGAAGTATCAAGGTTAGTACAGTCATCAGGATTCAAGGCCAGAAAAGGGCAGCTTTCAGAGAAGTTTGAGGGATTTTGTTGGTACTGTAACAAACCTGGGGACAAGGCAGCTCAATGCCGGCAACTTCAACACAGGGAAGATGCCACTGCAGGAAAGATTGCTACCCAGAAAAGTTGTTGGAACTGTGGAGAGCAAGGACATATGAGTAGCCAGTGTAAGAAGAATACTACTGATAAGTCAGCTTCGGGAAACCAGTAGCGGTTGGTATTGAGGGACGCCAACCAACCCTCATTGTGAAAGTCCCAACAGCTAAGTGTAAAATGGAAAGCACACATGGTGTCTATGTGACAGGAAAGCTGGATGGCCAAAAGTGCAGCTTTGTCATAGATTCTGCATCTCAGCAAACCCTTGTGAGTATCAAGTTGCTGAATCACAAAGGAGTACCAGAAGCCATACAGAAGCTCGGTGGTGTGATAAGACATCATGCATGGTTGTGGGTAACAATTGAGCTCATGGGCATGAAAAACAGACAGAAAGTATACTTGGCTGACATTGAAGACCAATGCATACTAGGGTTGGACTACTTACTACCGAGGAAGTGTGTAGTCAATTTTGATAAAATGACGTTTGACAACAACAAAGGCCAAATTCCAGTAAGTGTTGCTGCTTCTGTTGATTTGCATATCACAGCACTTAAGTCAACTGCAATACCCCCTATGTTAGAGAAGAAAATTTGGGGTAGAAAAAAAGAACATTCCCAAGGAAGCCCGATGCTTGTTGAAGCAGTGGAAGACCCATCCAGACAAGCAGGCGTGAAGATTGGAAGGTCACTTGTGGCAGGTCACCAAATAGTACCCATAACAGTGGCTAATTTCTCTAGATATGAGCAGACACTTAAGGAAGAGGCATTGTTGGGTGTGTGCCAGGAAGTATAGAGCCAGTCAATGTTAAGGCGAGAAATACAACCATAAAGAAAGGACATCTTCTCTCAAAACATTTAACTGACCTCTATAAGAAGAGCATAATACATTTGTCATTATCACAGGCTCTTCAGGTTAAAGAACTTTTGGTGGATTATGCAAACGTCTTTTTAAAAGGAGATCATGACCTCGGCTGCACAGGCCTTGGTGATGGATTATTTCACCAAGTGGCCTGAGGCATATGCAATACCAAATCAGGAAGCTACAACTGT